TCTGAAAGGATAACTGGTCGGAGTTATCACCTAGGGGAAGCCCTAAATAGTGGCAGGAAAGTGCTCATCTTCACAATTCGTGATAGCCGCCTATACAACCAAAACTTCGGGGGATCATAACTAATACCACTATAAATCTCGTCTCTATTATTTTAAGACTGCAAATGGCTTTAAATCGACACAATACGGTTAAATTAACAAAGAAGACCCTCTGAGTAGATGGAAACTAAATTAGTAAAGATGGCACAGCTTTGAGAGGACAGTGACTGCAGAAATAACAGGCGTGCACTAAGACCAAGAATGAAACAACACTTCTTTTTTTTCCTCCTTTGGAAGCCATGAGTCAAAGTGGTTCTGTTCTTTTCACTGCAGCAAGTCATTTGACAAACAATTTCTTATACTTTAACCTACCATATCACCTTGGAGTGTATTGCAGATTCCTGATGTCAGAACAGGTGAGGATATAATCGATGCTGTTATCATTGATGAAGAATCCATTGGGTCAGACAGCACGGGTTGTGGCGCTAAAATTCTTTACGGAAAGGGAGCATTGGATCGCTATCTTTCAGGACAAAAGGTAGAAGATAGAAAGCTCTATCAATATCAATATCAATTACATGTCCTTCCTGGCAATCTAATAATGCTGCTTACTTGGCTTTGCAGACTACAAGTCAGGGTTCCGAAGAAGAGGCAGAACCTGAAAGTGAAACAGATCTTCCTTCAGTTGTTGCCAGCAGCATGTAACCAGCCATTTCTGAAAGCCCATGTATTATAACTGTAATGTTGTACATATTACTAGTCCACATTTATTAATAGTTCAAATGGGAAATTACTGTCATACAGATTATCTGATTCTCTAAAAAGAAAGTGTTTTGTGTTTTTCATTTCAAAGTCCTGATGCCTTGAGAGCCTACACCTTGTACGAAAGGTGGGGAAAGCACAAAATTTACTTGCCCATGAATGTTGATTGATGAGGGTTAACATTGGGAATAATATGCTTTTGTAGCTTCAAATTCACTCACAGCCATATCATATCCAAGGTTGATATTCCCCTTTTCAACCTGCATTTTCCTAATACTATATGTATTGGGAAGGGAAGCCTATAATTAAAGATATGATTGCCCTTTTTTATGCACTCTATACCCTACTTTTTTAACTTGTACGAGTATTTTTTTTTAGATACACTTTGAGATTTTAATTAGGCCCCGCACTCACAAATTAGGTAATTTAATTTCTTAGTTGTGATTCATTCTTGGATACAAATTAAATAAAATTGCTGATTGGAACAAGCCTCTTAACATATTTAAGCCGACAAGTATTTATATTTATAGAATGAATAATTGTAAGTCAATTACTAAGATAATATGTATTAGTTGTACAAATTAAGGTAGCTTCTTTCATTTGCTGGCCAGACAACCTTAAAATTCTTTCTTTTTCTTAAAGAAAAAAACAGTTAAAAGAATAATGATGCATCTTAATTGCCATAATTATTGAAAGATCTTAAATAGATATTATGATGATAATTACAAGAAAAGAGGAAGAAAAAGAAAAAGAAAAGAGAAAAGAGAAAAGAGAAAAAAAAAAAAAAAAAAAAAAAAAAAAAAAAAAAAAAAAAAAAAAAAAAAAAAAAAAAAAAAAAA